TAAACAAAATCAAGATACCCCTCTTGACCCATGTAAGTGACAACAATGTTCAGTTTTAAGCTGTAGAGACTTTAAAATGTATTTTCCAAATAATAAAGGAAATCAGAACCAAGGAGAAGAAAAGATAGATATAGATAATATCAAAAACATACAGGAGGAAAGAACAGATGGATGGGAATAAAAACTTTGATGAGACAGATTAAATGGATTTGCACTCAGGTTGCTGAATGGAAGAAATTCAGGGGGACCTGGAATTCGAGGATGAACCTTCCCTCTAGACACCCTTGAGTAGCTTGACATTCAGCATCCTAGGCTTGAATATGGTCACCATACCTCCAGTTTAAAAAGGCAAAATAGCATCAGCATTTTAAGCAGTATTAAACTATTTCATAGACTGCAGGAAAGTCATAAGGACATGTGATTCAGAGATTAGAACAGAAGAAACACCATATTGCATCCTTTCTCCTTCTGTTTTTTCTTGTGCGCACGTGCACATACATAAATTCTCTATATGCTACAGACTGACAAGGAACTTGTCCTTCTCCTGCAAATCTTAGGGCATGACTTTCTGGAATTGCTTTCAGGTTAACCATGCAGAAATCCACTATCCTTGAGTATCCTTCTCTGGTCTCTAGCTTAAATTCAAGTGGCAAATACTGTCTATACATCAATCCAGTACCGCAAATAGGATATCGGGACATTTTCTGAGTCTGGTGCTGTTCCCTTCCTTTTTCCTCTATCACCATGGCACAACGCTCACTTCCTGTATCAGACATGGAAGATGGATTGTATCTTTCTGACTTAGGTCCAGTGCCTACGGACCTTCTGGGAAGTGACTGCTTCTGAGCACAACCCAGGACTCCATTACATTTTCAGTACTGCTGGCCACTCTTTCTATGCACCCCTGAGCTTACAGAACTCAGAATCTTTGTAGCCTGCCCTACTGTGTGTTGGCCTTCACTATTAGAAGTCCATCCTGGTCATCCATGGGGCAATCTTTTTTTTTCTTCTAAATATTTTTTAAGTTTATTTTATTTTATTTTATTTATTGAGAATAGGAAAAAAAAGTTTCCGCCTCCTCCCAGCCTCCCATTTCCCTCCCCCTCCCCCACTCTTCTCCCCCTCCCCCCTCTCTTCTCCCCCTCCCCCCACTCCTCTCCCCCTCCCTCTCCAATCCAAAGAGCAGTCATGGTTCCCTGCCCTGTGGAAAGTCCAAGGTCCTCCCCACTCCGTCCATGTCTAGGAAGGTGAACATCCAAACTGGCTAGGCTCCCACCAAGCCGGAACATGAAGTAGGATCAAAACCCCTTGCCATTGACCTTGGCTTCTCATCAGTCCTCATTGTTCGCCATCATCAGAGAGTCTGGTTTTATCCCATGCTTTTTCAGTCACAGTGCAGCTGGCCTTGGTGAGCTCCCAATAGATCAGCCCCACTGTCTCAGTGGGTGGGTACACCCCCGTGGTCCTGACATCCTTGCTCGTGTTCTCCCTCCATCTGCTCCTCATTGGGACCTTGGGAGCTCAGTCCAGTGCTCCAGTGTGGGTCTCTCTCTCTATCTCCATCCATCACCAGATGAATGGATATGAAAGATATTCGTCAGTATTGTTATAGGATAGGGTCATTTCAGGTTCCCTAACCTCAGCTTCCCAAGGGACTAACTGGGGACATCGCCTTGGGCTCCTGGGAGCCACTCTAGGTTCAAGTCTCTTGCCAACACTAAGGTGGCTCCCTTAACTAAGATATGTGCTTCCCTGCTCCCCTATCCAACCTTCCTTTATCCCAATCTTCCTGTTTCCCCAAGATCCCCCAATCCTCCTCTTCTCACTTTTTTCTTCATCCATGGGGTCATCTTATTCTTAATCCTTGCTCTACCCTAGAAAAAATATTGTCTCCATTAATTCTTTGGACTCCTATGTTACTCAGATGTTGTGCATATACCTAAAGGTATGTGATAGGGTGCTTGGGCAAAGTACAAGCCCTCAAACTATACCCACAACACTCTGAGAGGCAGGCGGTGAACACTACTTGCGGGGGACAGACTTCAGGAATATTCAGTTCTGTTCTGTCTGTGCCCACCTCTTCCTGAGTGAACATCCTTTCATGGCCGTAGTTCCCTGGGGTTACAAGTATCATATTAAAAAGTAGGGGAAGAAATGAAATGAGATGTTACTAAGGAATAAATAAATAAGATATAACTTTCTGTGCTTTTCAGTTCCATGTTCCTTGAGGGGCTTAGTATCTGCTCTGATATTACTTGGAGTTGAATGCTGCCCTTGCCCAACGTGGCAATGTAAGATCTTGCCAACACACTTTGATACTGATGCAAGATATACAGTATGCGGTGATAATTTATTTTAGCAATATTTCTTGAGAAATTGTTATGCAGCAGGCAAGAATAGTACAAAGCCAAACAAAAGAAATCTTCCATAAGAAACTAAAATTTCTATGACTTTGAAGGAGAAAACGTGCTTCCTTTGGCTGGGGAGGTGAAGTGCGACCTCCAAACACTTCAGATTTAGGGTGTTAAGAAGACACAACAGGCATTTCAGGACAAAGCAAACAAAAGAGGAGCTAGGCCATCTTTATTAAGAAGCGCAATGGCGTCTCTCCCACATCCCCCAACCCTGGGTATCCTGCACCAGGCCACAGCTGATGACCTGAAGTGGCCATGTGGGACCCGGTGCATAGATGAGAGATGCTGCCGCTGAGCCAGTGCCTCCTCCCTCCCACTGTCACCCTTACAGCCACCATGGGGGAGCCAAAGATGCTGCTGCCACCACCCAAGCCCCAACTGCAGAGAGAAACTCAGCATCAGAGACAATGGCTGTATCTCCAGAGATTTTGGTGGCTGCCAGCACCAGCAGGACCATGAAGCAGCTTGAAGGAAGGGTCCTTATTCCAACCTTGGGTCAACAGACACAGTCTGCAGCATGGAGCCTCTACTTCTGTGGAGTTGCCCGAGGACTGTCGGCATGAAGGTCATACCATGTGAACCAGCAGCAGCCTGGAGATCTACTGGATCCTGTCCCCAGACACCCTGCCCAGCTGAAGGATTCTCCTGACTTTGAGCAACAACAGAATATCCAAGAAAAGTCTTGGCAATAGTCCAGGATGTATGGTGTTTCAGAAATCAGAAATGAGTCAGACCAATGACTCGTTATAATGACTATTGCATAAAAAGTTGTTTGGACAAAAATATATTCTGTGTGACACTCCACAGTTTGCAATGCCACTTTGATAAGTAATGGTGTGGTGGAGAGTTGGGGAAAATGGAAGAACAGAGCAGCATGCGTTGGCAGTGAGAGAAACAGAACTAAAGACGCAGCAGTGACAGGGGTGGGGACCATGGCTGTTGTGGACCAGGCAGCATGGAATTGCCAAGTAGGACAGGTAGAGTGGTGAGCAGCAGCCTGGAGCCTTCATAGGCTCTGCTCCTGAACACACTGCCCCAACCCTGTGACCACCTTCACTCTAACAACAGCAGGATATCTGAGATGGACAATGGTTCATCTTCTGGATGGGGCCTTCTCAGAAAACCTCCATGGTTCATGCTGTCACCAGAGGCCAGGTTGCTGTACAGGGTCCATGCTACAGTCCAGGCTTTGCTGATATCTGTGGTCTGGACAGGCACAGCCGGCTATATTGATACCTGTGCTGCTACCCAAGGCCATGTTAGTGTCTCTAGTCCAAGATGCCACCAGGTGCCATGTTGATGTTCATGGGTCCTGTTACTGTCATCAGTGGCCATCTCACACAGTCTGTCTCTATGCCCTGTGCTTTCTGTCCTAGGGCACAGGAAGAGATGACCAATGGAACTGAGATTGCCAGCTATGGTGGTAAGTATCTGGGATATAATTGGCATTAATAAACTCATAGGGAATAGCACTATTAAGAGTTGTGGCTTTGTTGGAGTAGGTGTGGCCTTGTTGAAGGAAGTGTGTCACTGTGGGGGAGGGGGGGAATGGAGAGGGAATGAGGTCTCCTTTGCTCAAGTTACACCTGTAGTTCAGTTCACTTCCTGTTGCCTGCAGATCAAAGATGTAGAATTCTCAGCTTCTTTTCCAGCACCATGTCTGCCTGAACACTGTCAGGTCTCACCATGATGATAATGGACTGACCCTCTGAACTGTAAGCCAGCCCCAATTAAATGTTTTCCTTTGTAAGAATTGCCACGATCATGGTATCTCTTCATAGCAATAGAAACCCTAACTAAGACACTGTCATATAATGGCTCCTTGAAGATTGTTGCACAGAAATGACAAGACTAAGACATAAGTTGTGAGCTATAAGGCAGGACTCAAGTAATATCTCAAACAGAATCACTAGTGGTAATGTTAGAGGAGATAAGGCTAGAATGGATCTTGGAACACATTTTGCCTAACCAAGAACTTTGAACTCAGCAGTGTTTGCAGCATCACAAGGCCTAATGTACTGTTTTGCATGTTGGGGTCTGAAGGAGAAGAGGTTGCCGTGCTCATGTTTGCATTCAGGGTTCCAGAGCCTATTGTAATTGTGTCGCTTCCAGCTAAAGTAACCCTCTACCTTAGTTACCGTTTTATTGCTGTGAAGAAACACCATGACCTATGTAACTCTTATAAAAGAAAACATTCAATTGGGGGCCTGATTACCGTGTAAGAGGTTAGTCCATTATCAATCATCATACAGGGAGCATGGTGGCATGCAGGCAAACATGGTCCTGGAGAAGTAGCTGAGAGATGTGTATCCTGTCCATAGGCAGAAAGACTCTGAGCCTGGCATGGGCTTTTGAAACCTCAAAACCCACTGCCAGTGACATACTTTCTACAACAAAGCCACACCTCCTAATTCTTATAATCCTTTCAAACAGTTCCACTCCCTGGTAACTAAGCATTCAAATATGACTCTATAGGGGCCATTACTATTCAAAGCACTACACCCTCATACAACAAGCAATTGATTGAAAACTGTCCCACAGATACTCTTAAAGTTCCAGAAAAAAAATCAGAGCCGATTCTTCAATTTCCATTCACTTTATAAAGTTAAATAAAGACATTATAATTAGTTTGAAATTCAACTTAATGTGACTGACTCTCTGAAATTTGGGTTCATTTTATATTCACTTTGGTTAGCAGTCACCATAATAAAAGCATATACTGTGTGTCAAATTATTAACTGATGATGTTCTGAATCTCTCATGGTCATCAAGACACATAAAATCTTTTATATTGCTTCATTCTTGGTATTTATCTTTCAGGCATTTATCATATTTACAATAAGCATATGTAAAGTTAAGAAGGAAGAATTTTTCACTGGAATCCACACCTCTGCCCCATGGGATGCTGTGAGAACAGGGAGGGAGAATTGCATGTAAGTCTCTGACTTGACTGTACTTGGTAGCTGAATGGATGGTGGGACGAGATCAGAAAAGGATAAAAGTGATTCTTGGGTTTCACACTGGAATGATGTTCAGATGAGTGACACTACAATGTATGTTCTGGTGCAGAGGTGACATGGTGGTCTTTTACGATGCCTTGCCGTGTTTTCAAGTAAAGGATTCTCCATTCGTTTGCTTCTTTGTCCTGGACTCAGCCACACATCTGGCCCATGCTGGACTTTAATCTTCAGCCTCTAAGTAGAAGTTGGTACTAGTAGTTTCACCCCTCTGTTGTGTGAGGGTGACTGTCTGCCTTGCCGTGGCAGGGGTGGCTATGAACCAGCCAGGATAGGAGACTGACTGGAAGGCAGAAGTGGAGCCCTCTGTGCTGTGGTAGAAGAGAAAGTCTTTCGGTGCTTTGCCCTCTTTGTATATTTCCATGATGCTTACATCCTAGGGTAAGAAAGAGACTTATTAATGAGGATGACCAGGGAGAAGGGGCTACAGTAACTGAGCACTGAGTGCACAACATGGGAGTAACTGCTGTGCCCAATAGGAGGGACATGGGTTAGGGAATACAGGCAAAAGAAAAGATAGCAAGCTATCAAGCCAGGCACCTACTAGTTTCCAAATAGCCTGGCTTTTCCCCAGAGTCCCATCATACAAAGGGACTGATTCTTTGAGGTATGGAACTCCCTGGAAGAGAATGGGGTAGAGGGAGAGGGCTTCTACTATACACCCATCTACAGTTTTGTGCCAGCCGGCCTGAATACCCAACCTCTGAGTAAATTTATGCATTACAATCTCCATCATTAGCAAGGGATAAGACTTTTAACTATATATCTTTTCTTTTAGCACACAGAAAACTTCAGATTAGCATTCCTTTGCCTAAGTGTGGCTTATTAGCATCTCTGATGTTATTTAGGAGGAAGTTACTCAGGACTAAGAATGGAGAAGCCACTGTTCCTTCACTTTTCAGAAACATTTCCATGGGTTTGATGCTCTGGTTTTCACTTTAATTCCCAAATCTGGGGTTTAAAAAGATGCTGTATAACTCAGTGGTATTGTTATTTATCTGGAGACTGGCCAAGTAAGGGCTCCTTTCTTACTCTGAAGAGTGCAAACTTGCAGGGATATCAATTTTCTTCTGTAAACTGATAAGCTACCTTAAATAAAAGTCTATCTGGTATACCTCCCTTACCAGCTGCAGGTACTCACCTTAAGCTCCAAAGTCGGTGTGCCCCCAATTTCAGCGCAGAAGAGGCAAAGTTTTTCGCCCTTGATTCCCAGAAAAACTAGATTACCTTTTTCAATATCTTGGAATTCTTGATCTCTACATGCTATCAAGTTAAGAATGACTGGAAACACAATAAAAAATGGGGACAATGTCAGGCTTTGAAAGAAATTCAATCTTTTGACCCACACCCTGTTAACCCTCCTCCTCCTCCTCCTCTTTCTCATCATCATCATCATCACCATCATCATCATCATTTCCTCCTTCAAAGCTCCCACATTAGCCACTTAACAGTGATTATTGGTTGCTATCCTGGGACCAGTTTCGTTTTGCTTCTTGATACCAGAACCTCGGTTGTCACTTGGGCACATTGTTTCCCAAAAATTAAAATAAGATATAGTCATGCACTTATTGTGGTTCATGATATATGAGTAGAGGTATCCTGAGGGGTTTCTACAAGGTTCCTTAAGAGACTAGACTCACCTGGAAATACTTCATCTGTCACATCCTGTTACCTACACCAAACACTTAAGTGATAGCTTACACAAACCTGAGGTTGGTGAATCAGAAAGGAGACTCTTTGATCTCTGGTGGCATCATGAAACCAACATGGAACCCAGCCTGGCCCAGCCCACTGGTTTTATATATGTAAGAAACAAACCATTATCTTACTTTAGTTCTTGTTGTGTGAATTTTCTATCATTCTTGGTTGGAATTAATTATCCAATAATTTAGGAAGAATTTTCCGAGCATTTAGACATTTTGTATCTATTTCTTGGCATAGGACAGGAAACAAACCCATTTGACAAACTATTAACTATTCACCTAAGACAAAGCACTATGAGGAAATTGAAGATTTGGTTTAGGGCAAGATATGAAATACTTCCCTCAAAGTCCCATATATTGAAAACTTGAACATCACCTGGGGCCACTATTGAAGCAGGATCAGATCATGAAAGTCCTAAATTCATCAATGGATTAATCCATTAATGAGTTCACAGCTGAATGAGTTATTGGATACAGAACCTATCTGGCCATTGGTGATGTTCCTTTAAGGCAAGAAGGTTGAAACCTCCTCCCAACTTTCTGTCTACCACGAGGATAGCAGCTCTTTTCCACCATACAATGTGTCTGTCTTGACAGATACCTAAAAAATCAGTGGAGCCAATAGAAGGCTCTGAAAACTCTGAACTTATTCACCCAAATCAACCTTTAAGTATTTTTTTAAGCTATTTTTGGTGGTGGTGAGGATAGGCTGTCGTACTAGTGAAAAGCTGGCTCCCACAAAGATAGAAGGAAGAGAAAGATGGAGTGAAGAGCAAGTTTCGGTACTGAGGCTGGGGATATGATATGGGAGGTCTCTCTGTGATGGGCAAGGTTAAGAGGGGGATTAAACAAAACATGGAAGTTTTAAAGAAGTGAGATAAGGCTGAGATGGGTTTCCTTCTGATGGGAAGAAGGAATTTTTCACCATCATTAGAAGAGGAGATATGGAAAGAGAAGAACATGTAATTTTGACAGTGGAAAGATGGGCGGGTTTGAATCTGCGGATATGGGTATGGTTGGCTAGAATTTAAAGGAATGCCGTTCTAAAAGAAACTTGGTGACTGTTACACCATTCTCTCCTATTGGAAGATGCTTTCATGAGGGTAAGTGTGCTGTTGTTTCTATGTATACATCTTCCTTTGTAGCATGGGGCTGTCTTTTTTTCCTTGCTTGTCCTCTGAACATCAAGTAGGTGACCAGGTAAGGAAGGCAGAAGACTTATGCAGGCTGATGTCAACTCGCAGTGGGTCCGATGCATCTTCAAGAGTAACAGTCCCCTCGCATGTCACTTACCAGGCTTGACATTGCTGCTAGCAGGCACCGCTATTAGAGAATTTCCTGCCAGGACCCACACCATCTGTTGGGAGTCATAGATCCTGTAGGTTCTGGGAAATTCCTGACCTGCCAGATAACAAGACACAGGTGTGGGTATAATTGGCTTTAAGGTTTGAGCTCCATCCTAATAACAACAAACTGTGAATTTCTGTGACAGATATTGTTCTGAGAAGAAATGGCCACAGGAAGGGAAATAGGGCAGGGACGGTTTACGGATCGAGGCACAGAGAAGAACTGGGTACATTCCTGGTTACAGGAGATGCATGACGCTTGCCACTTCTTCTGGTGTTACCTTTTCCTGGTTTATAAAGTCTCCACATAACAACACCAACCAAGACTACTTAAATCTGTCATCGGTGTGTATGTGTAATATCTAATCATCTTAATCAAAATAAATAAGCAATTCCATTTTTAACATAATCCTTTATTGATTCTTTGGAAATTCCGCAGCATGCACCCCAATCCTGCTCTCTTCCCAGTTCCTCTGTATCTGCCCCTCACTTCTGCAGCATTGCCCCCGCAAACCTAATTAAAAACCAAAAACTCACGGCGCTCCGACATCTTTCCAACACCTCCTTCCTGCATCCCAGAGTTACTTGGGAGCTGCAGTATGTCACAATGTGCACCCTTCTGTCCGTTCAGCCCCACCCACAAATATTCATTGCGATGAGTCACTGGTCTGGTTCAAGGCTTCTGTCCACTGCCACACCGTCATCATCCCTGGGCCCTCATTGAAACTCCTCCCGGATATCCTGTTGTTGCCCCGAGTCATGCAGATTCTGTGGTTATCCATCCACAGGACCGGGCTCACACGGATGCATGGGGTCTAGACCACATCCTGTAGCCATGTTGGTGTCTGAGGGCCGTACTGCCACTGAGGCTGTGGTAAAGCTGCTGCCAGGGCCTTATCTGGGTCTGTGGCCCTACAGCAGTCAGGGGCTGTGTTGATGTATGTGGCTCCTGATACCACAGAAGCTACTGCTGATGCCAGGGGTCTGGCCACAGCCTGCAACCTTGTTGATGTCCGAGGGACTCACTGGAACTTGGGCCATGCCAATCTGAATAGCCTGTGCTGCCACCTGGGGCTATGGTGATATCCAAACCAGACTGCTACCGAGGACCATGTTTGGGTCTGAAGTTGGAATCTATGCTCATGCTAGTGTCTGAGAGCCACGCCACTACCAGAGCCAGGCCTATCTGGGTGGCCTGCACAGTCACATGGGCCGTGGTGCCAACCGGGCCCATTCTACCACAGTGGGTCATGTCTGGGTCGGTGGCCCAAAGGCAGCCAAGATCAGGGCTGATAGTGAAGGGCTTGTGTTACCACAGGGGGTCATAGGGACTATATGTGCTGAAATCTGAGGGCTGTGCTGAACCATCCCTGCCCCTTACTAGCCCTGGGGATAGCTGGCCCTGCCCCTTGCTAGACCCTGTATCAGGATAAGTGACCTCACCTATCATGGGAAAGCTGACACGGCTCTGTCTCCACCCCACCCCTCTCCACAGACAAGAGTGAGCTGGCCCCAATGGTTAGGGCCTAGGAGAGTTGTCCCTGCCCCTCACCTGAGGAGGTGGGGTCGCATTGGCCAGGACCAACCAGCTTAGCTACCACCCAGACCCTTGAGCTGGCCCACCCTAGCATCTGCCCCATCAATGACTTGCTGCAGTGTGTGAAGGAACAAAGAATCTAAATGTAACTAACAAGAAAGGAATTAAGTGCCTTGAGATTTCAATATGTAGATTTCTGAGTATTTCAGCCAGAGCAAAGAGATTAGTGGGTTAAGAAAGTGAAACAGGCCCCTTAGACCCTTTGGGGAGAGCAAATGGAGATGGTCCAAACAGGTTTGTGATTCACACTTACTTTCTTTGTGGATTTTACATTCTGAATCTTCAGAGCTTTCTTGAGGAGGATAATGTACTTTAGATTGTGGAGAGAAGGCCATCATTGCCTGGCCATGAGAAAGAAAAGGAAATTATTCTTCTCTTATATGCTTCTAGAATTTTATGAAAATTTCTTTAGTAAGAGCCTCCCTAAGCCCTCACCCCATACACACATTAAGATGTCTTGATGAATTATGTGTGGTGTTTACATGTGTTGAGTATTTTGTTTGTCTGTGTGCATGTGCACCAAGTGTGTGCCTGTTGTCTGTGGGAGGTCAGAAGAGAAAGCCTGATCCTCTGGAACTGGAGTTGTAGACAATTGGGAGCTGCCCAGTGTGGTCCTCTGCAAGAACAGCAAGTGCCCTTAAGCACTGAACCATCTTTCTAGCACCCAGGCTGATGTTTTAAAGTGTACCTAGACAGAACGTATTTCAAGGCCAGCAAGCCCTGAGAAGACGCTCCCAGCCCTTTAGTGACTGGTGTGGTCCTAGGTCTCAGGGTGGTGATGGCTTTGAATGCCATCTGCTACCACATCTGGAGGGTGAGCACGTTCCATCACCCCAGGTGCCTTCTTGTGCATTGAATGACCATATTGTGCTTAGAACAGAGCCAGGTGTGCCGCCCACCCCTGTTCTAGCTCCCCACAGCTAGGGAATGGCTACACTTCCTGCTCTTCTGTCAGAAAACCCGCCCCTCTGACTTATGTATCCCTTTGCTATCCATTCAGAGAAGCACCTCCAAGGATTCTGCATGTGAACATCCACGGCCACATCACAAGTCTCTCAAACATCTCTAGAGATATTTGATTCTGAGATTCTGGTTATTAATAGCACAAGATCTACCAAAGTCCACAGTCTCTTACCATGAGAACCAATTGTTCACAGTCCTCCCGGTCCAAGAGCCTCAGTGCCTCACATGAGAGTTGTCTAAAAGCAGAAATAAGCAAAAAAAAAAAAAAAAAAAAAAAAATGCAAGCAGCATTTTTATTATAAGCAACTCTAATTTCTCTGATACCTTGTACCTCGGGTCAAGGCCCCCAGAAGCACCCAGGGCTAGACAGAAAGCAGTGAAAGGTCTCCCTCAGAAGGCTCGAAATAGCAGAAATTACCTTTGTCCAAAGAGGTTCTTGTCCCTGGAATCAAACCTTTGGCTGCAGCTGGATCTGCAGGCACTGAGAGCTTGCCCGGGACTCCGGAGCTTTTAATTAGCCAGGCAGCAGCCCTGTCGCCTGACCCTGGGTGTGCCCACTTTAGCAAGAAGGCTGAGCCAGGCAAGGAGGACCTGTGAGCCCTTGGAGGGGAGGCAGGGAGGCAATACAGGTGCAACTGGTCTGGGCTCCTGGAGAAACAAAAGCAGAGCCCACACCAGAAAACAACAGGGAAGAAATGCACAGGCTGGAAGTTGAGTCACAGAGGAGGACACGGGCTCTGGACTTGAGGCAGAGGTGTGGCTGTCTTGACTCAGTGGGCAGCATGACAACAAAGTGCTATTTGCCTGGCAAGAGTAAATATGTAAATGTGATATGTAAATATGTGAATATGTAAATGTGAATGCAAATATGATGGAGGTGGGTCTTGTAATAATAAAGAAACTGCCTCGGCCCTCATAGGACAGAAAATTAGGTAGGCGGAGTAGACAGAGGAGAATGCTGGGAAAAAGAAGCTGAGTGAGTGAGTCGCCATGATTCCCCTGCTCCAGACAGACACAGGTTAAGATCCTCCCTGGTAAGCCAGCTCGTGGGCTACACAGAATATTAGAAATGGGTTAGAACAATATGTAAGAGCTAGCCAATAAGAAACTGGACCTAGCCAGGCCAGGCAGTGTTTGAAAGAATACAGTTTCCGTGTAATTATTTCTGGGTATAAACTACCCATGCGGGCGGCCGGGTGCCGGGGACGCAGCCCTGCCGCTCCTATTTCAACACAAATATGTAAACATGGCAAATCTCAGTCCTGATCTCAGGAGTTTACATATTTAGTATGCTGCAGCTCAGGAGAGCGTCTTCTGTGTCTGATAAAAAACGTCAGGGCTCTCCTTTCCTGAATAATCTTTTATTCCTCACAACAGCCCTTTACTGGTCACTGGTCCTTCTCACAGAAGAAAACCAGCCCAGAGAGAAGACAGAAAAGCCAACTAGCCAGTCACACTGCCCAGCCAAGTGTGAAGCCTTCTGCTCTTGGGTGCCCTGTGATGTGTTCATTTATGGTCTTGATCTTCTGCATACTGTATTAGAAACACCCAGGAGGCCTTGGGCTTCACTCTGTGCCCAGGGAGCAGATGAAGATGCTATGAAGGATGCTCAGGGTTGTGAGCTCCTAACTATGTAGCACGAGTCTGATGCAGCCCAGACATTGATAACAGGAGGAAAACGTCACTCCTGGAATAATACTGTGGATCAGTGCTAAACACTAAAAGAACCCTGCTCAATTTGTTCAAAAATTCACTCTCTGATATTCCGCATTTGGGGATTCCCAAGTGTGGGTCATGGTTGTATTCTCTGAACTCTGCCATTAAGTCTTCCCCTTGGAATCTTGCCATGGTCCCTAACTAGTGTCTCTGTCTGGCCCTAGGTCTGTGCCCACTTTACCAAGAAACCTGGGCTGGCACAGAAGACCTGGGAAGATTTGAAAGGGAGGCAGGGAGGCCATGCAGGTGTGAAGGCTCTGGGCTTCTGGAGAAAAGAAAGCAGAGAAAACACCAGAGAAAACGCCTTTTCCTGGACTTTAATGTCCACCCAGTTGTGGCCAGGATAAGACAGAAATACAGTCACATCGCCTTCCTGTTCTAAACTCTCTAATGGTGTCATTGTATCGTAGGACACTCAGAACTCTTGCCCTGGTCACCCCAGCCCCAAGGACCAGCCCCTGGTTTCTTTCCCGCTGCTACCTCAGGATTTCCCTGGCTTCAGTTTACACTGGACAGGTGCCAGTTCTCCCAGATTGCTCCTGCTTGGGCCACTGGGTGTCTGCACAGCTCTTGCTTTTTCTGAAAACAACCTAACCATCACAGGGTTTTTAAAACAACAGGTCACATAGATGAAAGGGAATTGATTCTGATACCACATAAATACCAAATGAAAGAACATTGTACTGACTTTTTCAGCGCTAGGAAAGAAAGATTAACAGGGATAAAGACGAGCAATCCACAATGCTGTGTCAAACCTCCCAAACATGAACAACTCAGCATGTGTATTTGCCTCATCATACAGCTTCAAATTATATGATTCAAAAACCGGTGGGGCTAAAAGAACAAATAGACTTCCCTTCAATTCCCTCCGTGAACTGAACACTCCTTGCTCCACAGTTAATAGAACAAGTAGCAAGGAATGTTGATGAGATGAGATACCGACCTGAGCAATGCTTTTTGCTGACTTGACCGACGTGTTATTTGTACAACAGTTCACCTGACAACAAAAAGAAGCATCCCAGTCCTGGGGACAGGAGTGAGGACAACACAGAAGGAGAAGGCACGGGGAGGGCTAAACAAGACTGAGGATGTTTGAAAAATCCATAGGGAGTCATAGTAGTTTATGGTTACACAAATTGCATAAAACATGTAGGTCTGTGTATAGGTGTTTGTACATGTGTGTATATGTATATAATTTAATTGAGGTGATATTACTTAGGGTGACAGTACTCCCCCCAAAACCATAGACTATCTAGCAAAGCCCCCTATGCTAGGCATGGGAAGCCTTCTTTCAAGTTGTTGGTCAGGAGAATCTAAGAGACTCCTAAAACATTGGTCATTGCCATTGCTTGGTGCCTTCCAAAGAAAGAAGGAAAGATCGCATGCTGAAGATATTGTACGCTTCAGGCAGAGGACTTGGAGGGAGCCATCTAGACCTGGCCTGGAAGCCTTGGCTCTCAGTATTGGAAGGAGTCGTGTAAACTACAAAGAAAGAAAAGTATTCAATAGCCCTACTTGGCTATAATGCCCAAAACCACGATGCCCAGCATGGCGAGATATTCCAAAAGATGCAATAGCTGTGTTCATATACTGGGGGCAACCATAGCCACCAAACTGGACTGAAGACCTGCTCAATAGGAGGAAATGCATGCCTGATGCTGTAAATTTAGCCAACTACCAGTGATTGGTTGATGCCATGGACCCTACAATTCCTAACTGCATTCTAAATATATGTCCTTATATCCACAGATAAGAGCCTTGACCTTCACCCCCCCCCCAAAAAAAAAGCCTGTTTTTGCACCAGATGGAGACCATCACAGAAAGCTTTAACTGGTCAAAAGGCAGAGAACAACGGACTGCGGGGTACCAGTCCTCAACTGACATATTCACAACATAAACCTACACTTAAGGCTCAGGGACATCACAGGAGAGAGAGGCAGAAGAGCCAGAGGACAAGGACATCTGCTGCAAGATTGTCTCTTTCAAAGATGTGGACATGAACTGGGGGACTAAAGAGAAGGGGTGGACCTAGGAGGAAGTCAGGCAGAGGAATGGGCATTGAATATGATCGAGACATGCTGTATTAAATTCACAAAAATTAATTAAACTATGTTATTAAAATAAAATGTTTAAGCCAGGTGGTGGTGGTGACACAAACCTTTAATCCCAGCACTCAAGAGGCAGAGACAGATGGATCTCTGAGTTCAAAGCCAGCCTGATCTACAGAGGCAGTTCCGGGACAGCCAAGGCTACACAAAGAATCCCTTTCTCTATAAACATATAAATACATAAGTACACAATAAAATAACTTTTAATGTAAATAAAAAAAACCATAGGATCTAGCAATTCTATTTCTGGATATATGTTTGGGACTGTGGACCTCCAGACCCTGAATTTCCTGTGACCCCTTGCCTACTTGGAGTAAATAACTTGTTTTCCTGTACCTGCAGCTGCTCTGAGCACAAGACCCTCAGGAATTCTTGATTGCAGGGGAGTGGTTTCTGGTGCGTTTGCAGCTGCGAGTTAGGGTATAGCCACTAGTCAAGGATATAAGTTGCCCTGTAACACAATAAAGGGGTGTTCTTGCTGCAAGGATGACTCCTCTCTCTCTCTCTCTCTCTCTCTCTCTCTCTCTCTCTCTCTCTCTCTCTCTCTCTCCCCCCCCCCCCCCCCCCCCCCCCCCCCCCCCCCCCCGTATGCCTGTGTGTTTCAATCTCTAGCCCCTTGCCTGTCTCATGAACCATACCGTACCATAGAGCACAGAGTGTGGAGAACAGGCATAGAGTATTCTGAAGTATTTTATAGTGCATTAGAAGTGTAGGCTCACAGCGAGATCGGGAACTAGGGACACGCTGAGAAATTGGCCTCTGGAAGACTGGCCAGCAGGACAGTAATAAAGAGGAGGCGGGAGGGTGAACTGAAGACCTCCAAAAGAATGGAAGTCTTTAAAGAGACAAAGAATAGACAGATTCAAAGGAGTAAAAAAAAAAATGTGCACAGAAGATTTGGATTATGTATGCTATTGTGTTTATTTTTTTGACTGGAGAGAGACTCTGGAAATTGCTTTAAAAAAGGGTACTTTGACTTTAAAATTTGGGTCTAGGGATTTGTTGCTTTGGAAAAGAATTTCTGCCAGGATAGGCTCCAAAGCCACAAAGAAACCCTGTCTCAAAAACTGAACCAAAAAAAAAAAAGGGGGGAACGAAAAATATATTAAGACACTTTGTTCAAATATGCCATAATAGTATCTAGTGCCTTGATTAAAATTTGTTTTATTAAAAAGATTCTGACATCGAGGAGTTCATAGGATGTGATGCTTTCTTACTTCCCCATTAGAGCCGGGCCTTCCTGACAAAATCAAGAGGAGAGAGTTGAAGCAACCTCGGCCATGCACCCATGAGCCCAAGCCAAGTCTTTGTGTCTAGGGGCTTGCCTGCCAGGGTGAGCTGTTCAGGTCTTTTGCAGAAAGAAATGGAAAATTAGGTACGTGACTCAGTCATGTGGCTATTAGACTATGAGCTAAGGGCAGCCTCTCTAGTTTATACTGGATGATAGCACCCTCTGCTGTTCAGTGTGAGACTGGCAGCTCAACATGCTTTTCAGTCCAGCCCACAGAGACTGTGCAGACCAGGGTGAATGGAGCCAGACTCACGCTTTTCCTGAACCAGCACCTTTTGACTTTCTTGTGGCTAATTTCAATTTAATATTAGGTTCCTCCCAGCAATGCACAAACCGTACAATCCATGAGAGAGTCCTCGAGGTCTGGAGATTGTTGAGATATTTATTACAAGGGAAGTGCTTGGTCCTGCCCCTTGGGACTGACCTGGATCTCGGGTGGAGACATTAGGGTGGCCCTTTCTCTTCCTTCGGTGACTCAATCAGGGAAAACTGCCTGTGGGTGCTACAGACATGGGAGCCTCGCCCATCATGTGGGCTGTCTGCACATTATGCCCAGTCCTAGCCAGTAGAACTGGCTGTTCCCCTCACCATCACTTCCCCCCACCTCCACCTACATCCCCTACTGGGCCTCGATGGTACCAGCTGAAGTGCTGTGACTCCACCCACCGGCTTCCCTCTGTCTTTCTCAAGTCTGTTCTCCAAAGCTGTTCCCTCATTCCATCCCCACGGCCCCAGACGATGATTTTATGGTATAGCTCAACAGAAGAGGAAGTCGGGATTGATAAAACATCCACTTCCGCTAACACCTCCATGCTCCCTGCCTCAGCAACATCTCTTCCGTGCCTTTATTCCACAAAGCCGCCCCAATGAGGAGCCTCCCTATCTATAAGGTAGCCTGCTGCAGTGCCCAGTGGAGCCTTCTTGTCTAAACTAGCTGTGCTGTTTTGTTGTTTCTGAAACCCATCCTTTTCGAATAGACCCTTAGTCCTTCAGGCAGTGAGACTCTGCCAGTGATGTGGACTCGTTCCTAGTTCTGCCCTTTACCCATCTTCATTTCCTTTAAATCTATAATCTACAAAGTTGTTCTCCGCTAGATGAACTGGACATGAAAGCCCACAACAGCAGGTCTACATCCTACTGAATTTATGGCCTTGGGTGACTCTTTTCTTCTAAATGGGAATAAAAACAGCTCTTGCCTTCTATGACTGTTGTGACTAGGAGCTAAGACAAGAGTGGGCTGTCCTTTAACACAGTGCCTGGCACAGTAAACATGTAGCAAAAGTTAACCCTTCTTGTCAGAGCTTTAAAAACCTAATTGTGAATCCTGTGGTCATTTAACCGGGTGAGTTGGGTGGAGAAATTGCTCAAGCACATACAAGATGGTATTAGGTCTTGAAACCTGCCTCAGATTTAGGTCAAAGTACGCTAGGCCTCTGCTATGTTCTCTTTAATATTTAGGATGAGTGCAGAATGGGTGGGGGGAACCTAGGGAGCAGGAAATTTGTGACCAGGATCTGTACTACCTGCAGAGTCAGATCTTCATGGGCTCTGCCTCATCAGGTCCTCTCAAAATCTCAGTGCAGAGGAAATTACCATTCTCTTTACACAAAGAGATAAAAGTTAGGCAGGGTGATGTGTTGTATCAGAAAGATGAGACGAATCTCTCAAGACTGGGGTGGAAACAGAGAAGACTGCACCGGTGGTGAAGAAGTGGTGGTGACATCAAGACTGGTGGTGAGGATGCTGGTGATGGGGATGCTGGTGTTGAGGATGCTAGTGGTGAGGATGCTGGTGGTGATGTTGCTGGTGGTGATGTTGCTGGTGGTGAGGATGCTGGTGATGGGGATGCTAGTGGTGAGGATGCTGGTGGTGAGGATGCTGGTGGTGAGGATGCTGGTGGTGAGGATGCTGATGGTGAGGATGCTGGTAGTGAGGATGCTGGTGGTGATGAGGATGGTGGTGGTGACATCAAGGTTGGTGGTGAGGATGGTGGTGGTGAGGATGCTGTTCTTGGCAATAATGGTATAGCTGTTGTTCAAGTTCCTTCTATATGACAGGCACTGATGTGGTATTCCCCCTCTGTATGCTGTGAATACCATTGGTTAATAAAGAAACTGTCTTGGTCCTGCACAGGAAATAGAGGTAGGCAGGGGAGTGCTGGAAGGAAGAAGGCAGAGTCAGAGAGAAGCCATGTAGCCCCACCAGAGCTGGACAGAACTTTAGCTGGTAAGCCAATGTCTTGTAGTGATACACATATTGATAGAAATGGGTTAAATTAATAAGTAAGAGCCAATAAGAAGCGAGAGCAAATGGGCCAGGCTGTGATTTTAAAAATGCAGTTTCTGTGTTATTATTTTACTTCTGGGCAGCAGGAACCAACAAGCAGCTCTCTCCTACTACAAACTGGCACCCATGTGTCCAGCTAAAATCCACTTAAAATCCTGAGAGAGGTTAAAAACAAATCCTAGACATGAAAAACCAGAGTTAAGCATGGTTTGGTAGCAGCATTTTCTTGGCTGGGCTCTGTTTGCTAGAAGCAAGCAGAGGCATGGCTCCTTTAAGAGAGGTTTTCCTGATTCAGCGGTAGGAGGGAAAAAGCAGCAGTTTTAAAATGCCAGCTTTCTGGGCCATCTGCCAGTACAACTTCCGACTCTTTCTGGAAGTTCGGCTATGGAACACCCGAATGGGGTTTGTGGACCTGGGTGCTCGTATGCCTGCTTGGGAAAGTAACTGAGACTATGCCTGAAGCTCAGCACCACCAACCCCACATGGGCAGGCAGCAGGATCAGGGCTGCTAGGAATGCACAGGCAGGAGAGCATGGCAGATTCCTGCTGCTATACACAGAGATATTTCCAGGCAGTGCAATGCTCTGCATGGCATATCTATCCATTACTCAGATTTAAAGGGTTTATGTGCTGTATGCTCATTCTTAGAGTTAAAGTGCTGAGTGCAGCTCCTACCTGGTGGTCCCAGAGCTGGCAGTAATGGTACGTCCACCATTTTGAAAGTGGAGAGAGGCAGAGCCAGCATCCAGAGCTGCTGCAACCAAGCTGCTTACCATTTTAAAAGCTCTTCAAGACAGTAAAGAATTACAGATACACAATAGGGCAGAGTCAGACATAAAAGAACTCTAAATGGGTCACAGTGTTGGATAAATGTACACAGGCTTGGGAGAGAGAAGAAAAAGAGTAGAGAGAATTATAAAAAATTAAGTCTTAAAGAGACACAGCATAGACAGTTGTAGATTAAAAGAAGTAAAAAATAAGCCACATAAAAGTGGAAAATTCACAGAGAGTCTGGATTGTGTATGTTATTGTGTTTTCTTTGAATTTTTTGACTGTGAAGGAGTTACATATAGAGAGACATTTCATTGTATGGGCTGCTAAGCTAAGCCATCATGTATATGATAAAGGTATCTTGACTTCAGAATTTGGGTCTAAGGATATATTGCTTTGGAAAAGAGGTTCTTCTTTTGTTTTCACAAAGGATGAGAACCTGCAGATTCATTCCAGACTAATGTGGTTTAATGGACCAAGAGCCCCTGAAAGGTTGCCTTGAACACACCTCAAAACATTACTTTGCCCAATAAATAAGAGGAATCAGTTTGGAGAGTACTACGCCAAAATTCCCAAATATTGTTTATAAATGTTTCTTTATATTTAAAGGAAGATATGCTATAGAGATTTTCATTGGTATGGGTCTTGATTTATTGGTGCAAATTTAAGGTTATATATTTAT